AATTACATTGATGGCACTAATACCACAGATTGTCAATTTCAAAGGACTAACCTTTTCTTAGAGAATTATGTGTCAAAGATCTCAGTCGATTGGTGGTACTGCTAATGGAAAATCTCATTTAAAACTCACAATTAATTAGAATCTTGTAACTTCTTCGTTACTGAAGCTACTTTGAACTTGAGCATCGCAGTTTTTGGTACTGAAAAAAAAGATACATAAACAAATACTAAGACGTTTTTATTTAAATCTTTTCTCAGATCTATTGTCCAATCTCAATAGTGGACTGTATTCACAATGGAAAATTAAATATACGTGGTTATTTAATATAGATCGATAAATCTTATGTGGAAAAAATAACATACATGCTATGGACTGAGTGTGGCAAAAATTCAGGTTATAATTGGGTTAATGTATTAAATTCAATTTTGGATTAAATTGGATGGTGTTAAATTTCCAGCAGTAGAGTAGGAAATTTAAAATTTGTGTTTTTTTAACCGGGTCACGTTTTTTATTGAATGGGAAGCAATAACTTAAAAAATATTTGATTATATTAATAAAACATTGCCCCATAGTAAACTAGATAAAATTTACTTTAAACGGAAGTAGAGTTTTTTTATTGTTAAAACTATATATAAAAAAGTCATAAATTATTTTTATTTTTTTTTATCATACTTCAACTGTACTACATTTACCCCACTATTTTGACACTTCTACCAAGTTTTTTTATTGAAGAAAAATAATAAAATCTGCCACAATCTAGGGCATTGAGCATTATGGCTCTATGTTTACATTTATACATTTAATATACAATCTAAAATATAAATTGAGAAAAAAATAAAATTAGAAGAAAAAATGTAAGTAAAAATATATACATTAAAATAAAGGAAGAAAAAAACTTGTAAAAAGGAAAAAAAAAAATACATTCAAAGAATGGTAAAGAAACAAAAAAAAAATACTTTACACACATTCATTCCTTTGTACAATATTTACATTCAACCTAGGGAACTCTGAACCATGCCTTGCCGCTCTCACATGAAAGGCAAGGCAGGGCTCAAGGAGATCCCAGTGCTTCTCTCCCAGCGGCATCACTGTTTAAAAGACTGAGTAAGAGCGCTAAATCCACATACGCTCAGGACTTGGATGAAGTGGAGAAGCTGGCCACTGCCAGAACTCCAATAGAATATTTATAAAAGATCTCGGGGCCATTGCCGTTTCAACCTTCAGGGGGGATTATCCCACTATTAGAAAAACTTCCTCGTTAATTAAGTTTTAAGCCCATTGTTCAGGGAACACAGAAAAGTTCCAATTTAATTTAATTTGAAATTAAATTAAATGTAGATTTAATTTGCGATTAAATCTAATAAGTTGCTATAGCAACACATAAGCAATAAGTTGCTAAAGCAACACAGCTGCGATCTCGAGCCATACTGACGATATATCTCAGATGTGAGGCAGATTCCGCCATTACTCACGCAATTTGAACTCACTAGGCTGGCCAGTAAGAAAAATAAGAATTGTCCTGATTTCGTAAACATGGAGTAATAAACTACAGCGACCAGCAAGGGGCCAAGAAAAGAAGAGAGAAAAAAAATGAAAATGAAGACACATAGAAGAAAGGAAAATCGCAAATATCCCAACCCACCTAAATTTAAACATTGTATAAAATCCAAAATTAGCTAAAATAAAGCAATAAATTTTATATTTTATTTATTTACAGTCCACAGCAATAAAATAAGAATTAGCCCTATAGCATAATTATTGAGTCAATATCGCTGACAGCCGTGGAAGGGATTGACTTAATAAATTAAACATCCATATTGATTAAGTTTATTAGGAAAATTTTGAGATGCTCCTCAAGTTGTGTAAAGAATTTATTGAGTGAGGAGATCAAGGAGGTCCGGGGTGGCCGTCATAAAAATACTAAAAGCGTAAAAAAATCTATTTTATTTAAACCCAACGTTTCGACCCGACTTTGCATGTCTTCTTTAGGGGGGCGTATGCATATATTTTAGTCGTTTTAGAACTCCTACCCCGGACCATCTCCTTACTCAATAATATGCAAAAGTAAACCATCAAGTATTTATTAAAGAAATTATGTGATTTTCTATCGTCACCTAAAAGCAGGCTTGTTTTCTGCAAAAATGACTGCAGTTAACTGTTGCAAAGCTTTTATTTCTTGTTTTTCCGTGATAAGGGATGTATTTTAATAAACATAATTGCCTAAAAACACAATTTACTTATAAAAATAATGATTATGATAAATAATGATAGTAAAATAATAATGCATATTTATCAGTGACAAACCTAGAAACCTACTGATTGCTTCAATTATTTTCATGAAAATGTAAATAAATTGAATATTTTCGAAACAAAATCATTTTAACTCACATTTGTCATCAAACATTCCTTCATATCGTCTAAGATATTCATTAGATAAAGAATTTCATTTAAAAAAAGTTGTAGAGAATTAAATTCATCTACAAATTAATCTCCAACCAGTCTGCAGTTAGAGCTATTTTAAAATTGTTCACAAAATGTTATCATTTTCAGAAAAAGTTGTTTTTATCATATTCTTGACCCACAACTTTTATATCCGTGTCTAATAATAAGTGTGACCACACTTTAAATCCAATTATTAAATAAAGTAGAAAAAACTCAAGTTAATTGAAAATTTTAATATTGTATTTTACAGATAATAAAAGTCTCATGATATTTTTTTTCTATTTTATAATATTAAATACATACAATTATAAATCTCATGGTTATAACTTTTTTCGATTACTTATTAATATTACACTCATAAATGTTGATGGATTCACGTTTTCATCCACTTTAGACGTGGGTGTCTTGGCAAGAGTTTTCCTTCCATGGGATCTTCACCCTTAGTAGTGGGCCAAATTCCCCTACCGTACACTCTCCGCCAATGGTCCCATAACGAAAAGTAAACTCACTGTCCCAAAATGGCAGATTAACAACTTTGACTTGTATTAGTTTTTTTGCTCTCTGAGATTCACATTTGGTTTAATTTCGTCATAATTGGAATTTTATTAAAGCTGGATAGTCAGAAAATTATAAAACATGAAAATCTATAAAAAAAATAATTGGTTTTGGCAATAAAAACACTGATAAAGTCAATCCATTCAATTTGTTTAAACTAATGTTGAAAATCAAGCGTCGTTTGTAAGTAAACGGACACAATAACGAAAAAGCCTTGAAATAAGACTTCTGAACAAGGAAGTAGTCTTTTGTTGAAGTAATACGCAGGCTTATATTTTTCTCAGGATCAGTTTTACAATTATAATATACTTCATAATCAGGGTTTACACTTTTAAGATATATGTCCATGAGTCTCAAATTCTCTAATAAAAAACCTTGAATAAGGGAAAAAAGTTGGTGATTCATTCGTTCATAAACTGATGTTTAGTCCCAAAAAAAGATTTTTTTTTTTTCAGAAATCATCGCAGATTTTTCTGATCCTGTATTATTACTTTTGTTTTTGTCGAGTTGGCTTATGAAAGGGTAGGGCCTGGCTAGGGAAGGATGGGGTTGATATATTACACCGGGCCTTAAATCTTTCTCAAGGATTGATACCCACCCTACACTGACCCCGAACCAGCTCTACTGGAAAAAACAAAACTCAACAACCCTCCTCCCCCCTCTCCCCCATTGATTGATTGGAAGCTATATTTGATTTACAACGAAATCGTTCTTATTCTTCTCAAATACGTTTGATTAGTGTCCCTTTTCGACAAAAAAAGATTTGTAAAAAGAAAATTCAATTTTTCATTGTTATTGTCGTCCGCTCGATGAGCTTTTCAGTTAGTAACTTATGAGTCGGGAGACACTCAGGGACACATATATATATATATATGTGTGTGTGTGTGTGTATAGAGAGAGATAGGTGGTAGGGACCGAGCGAGTTAAAGTGCGTTGTAAAAATGTAATCCGTCTTCAATGACTGGAAATAATTAAAAGTAAAACAGGAAATATTTAAATAAATCTCCCTTTCAACTCCCATGGATATGTGATCTTCGTCAGTCTTCTGAAGTCTACTTGCTCTGACCGGTTATGATCCCACCCTTAATTGGGAATCGCGATGTGTGTTTTCAGGATGTCAGAAAATCATAGGTTTTGTCCATGGACGGTCTGCTTCGAGAAAAGAAATATAGGTCATCGTGTCCCAGCTGACTGAGCAGCCATAATACATGAATCTAAACCAATTTGTCACTCTTCATGAACCCGAGTGGGAAGAGGTTTTCCGGCCGTTGCACCATCAATGATCGTCATAGTTCGTAGCGACCTGAGTTTGACTATTTTTGCTTTTCTCTCTCCAAAACTGGTAGGCTGAACGACTTTCCTCAGGTTGGAGTCATTTGCGATCCTCATTTCTCAATTGAAAGTGTTCTGTAATGTGACGAAACGCCCAAGATGATATTCTTGGCATTCAGAAAATATTCCTAAACCGATTTGCGAAGCGGCGAGGCTTCTTTCCTGTTCGAGCTCATTCGAGAGATATTACTCATTTTTATGGTTTCATTTTTTTTTTTTTTTACAAATTTTTTTGGGAGATTTATAATTATTCTTCAGACGACAAAACATCTGCTACATCTCTTCCAGTAATCTGTCCAGCTATGTTTTCTTGTTAGGGTAATATTCTCCTGAATAAATCTACATTTTCATTTCAGCTTTATTTTAAGATGTAATTTAAAAATATATTTGTTCGTCAAATAATTCCTTTTATTGGCGTCTGTTTTAGATTATATATCTAGTAGCACTAAAGGTTAATAGCCGCTGCTTCATACCATGCCTTGTGCCTTATTTATATTCTAAAAATAAACCTTTGTTATTATCATAGTATTTTTTCATGAATAATTATTGTATCTTCAACTTTGTGTATTTACCTAGCGAATTTTTTTTTATATTATATTTATATTTCGATTGTATCAATATGTGTTGTGATTTACTTATTATTAATATATATATATATTTTTTTTTTACAGATTCTTCTATTTATACCATTTCTCATTTTACGCCTATCACTATCGATTTAATGGGCAGTACAGTGGACTTGCTTTGATAACTTCATGGCTTTTCATTCAGGTAATTATCTTTTTATTTATTTATTTGTGCTTTGCTAATGTTTTAAAATAGATTTCAGTGGTATATCACTTTTAGAAACATTTTTTATTTAGGCTTGGTTTCATCATTGATTATAAATATTTTAAAAAAAATTATATCTAATCATAGGAATATTGAAAATGACTAATAATTTTAAATGACAAATATTTTTGAAGCTTTAGTCGGATAGTGTTTTGTTTCAAAAACTGTAATCAAGAGTTATAGCAGTAATTTATTTTTTCTTAATCTTAAAACAGAAGAGCGAAAAAATAATTAATTCAGTATTTCGGATCAGGATTTTTTTTTCTGCTCAATGCAAAAAGTACAAAACATGTATGTTGGACCCATCGGAGAGGTACCGAAAAATTGAGGAATTAAACGAATACAAAATAATTATTTTGAGGAACAACAAACATTCCATGGCACTAGATAAATACAAAACAATGATCTTCAGGGCCCTCTGAGGGGGCCACCAGTCATTCTACGATGATAAAAAAGTTCACAACATTTATGTTGGGGCCCCTCGGAGGGACTCCAAAGTTTTGCGGATATAAACGAATAGAAAACAATTATTTTGGTTGCCAAACGTACAAGAGCACTAGATACATATATAACAATGATTGTCGGGTCTCTCAGTGGGGGCCCCCAATCATTCTACGGTATTCAAAAAGTCCAAGTGCAGCATGTTGTAATATTCAATTAAAAAAAGTACAAACAATTTATGTTGGGGTCCATAGGAGGGGCCCTAAAGTAATTGTTGGCCCCAAAGTAAAATATGGAACATTGATTTCGAAACTCCCTCCGGAGTTCCTCTTGTTCGGGGACCCTCGGCTATCACCCACCTGGCCAGATCGTGCCCGTCCGCTATACTGTTGCGATTAAGGTGCTTCGCCAGGAACCGATGAATTTCTGGGGAAGGAAATACGCCCAGGAAAGGAAGAACTGAAGTTGGGAAGGGCTGCTCAGGCTCCCTTGTCCACTTAAAATTAATTTTAAATTTAATTTCCTAATAATAATTCTGCCCTCACATTCACTGACCACAGTAATATTAAAAAAGTATGTGTTGTATATCATGTAATACACAGGTTAGGAGGCGAAAAGGGTGGTAGGAATTTGTAAATGAGGAAGCTGGAAGCTGATGTCCGCTATTCTTTTCATTTTTTTTTTAGCTATGATCAACAATTGTTTCTTAAATTAAATACACATATTAAAGAATAATTTGTTTTTGAAGTTCCTTAAGCTACTAAAAAATAATTTCCATGCAGTTTACCACGCTCAGTTTTCTAGTAATTATGTATTTTATTTTATTTCTTATTCTAAATCAAATGATAGCTAATTTATTTTCACTCATAAAGGATTACAAATCAAAACAAAGTGAGATTTTTGTGGTTTCTTGATGATTCTTCATATTTGCCAACAAAAAAAAAATTGTTCAACATCAGATTCGCTTCCAGTTCCCAGAAAAATATAAAGTAGTCCACTGAAAACAATTACACCAGAATTTTCCTCTTCGAAATACAATTTGACTGGACTGACCTCTTTGAGGTGAAGGGCCAATTGCCCCTCCTCGAGTTTTTATTGGAATTAATTCTACCCCTGTTTTTATTGGAAAATGTGGCGGCTGGAACGTAATCTTGACTTCATTAAACAGGTTCTTTACTGCAATCCTTGAAGATTGAGGAAGAAGAGATTATCAAGCTTTCAAATCTTTGAATGCAAATTTTAAAAAAAGTATTTACCTTTACGAATTCACACATTTCTTGAATTATTATATAATAATATTTTAATATTGATAATACAACGATCAAAACTAAGAATTATTGTAATATTAGTACTAACCAATAAAATATAATTCTTGTTTCGATCAAATTTCTTTCTTCTATTGTTCAACCATTGGCCACACATATTCCTTTTTCATATTCTTTCAAAATGACAGAAAAACAAAAAAAATAAATTATAATTTTGTTTCTGTCAGAATAGAAAAACAGCAAAAATCTTGTTGGAATGTGGTGCTGCTGAGGTAATACCGTGAGGGTGACTCGGAGGAATGCGGTAAGATGTATATTTTTTACCCTCACCGATTCTGGTGAGAGATGGGAACTGTTCGGGCATTTTCTTATTATTCTAAAGAAAAAGTATATTTTGCACATCTCTACTGTAGTTAATTCATTGCCCGTGGGATATGATGGATAAGATTAGGCTGCTCGGTTTGATGTTTTTTTTGACATCAGCTAATTTTTTTAATATTGTAATTGAGCGGGATAGCTAAATGGGTAAGAAACTGAGCTCCTATCCTCAAGGTCCCGGGTTGGAGTCCGGCTAAGCAAGTAACTATTTATTTTAGTACATCAGCCGTCGATCTACCATAGGACCAGGAGTCCCTCCTGGGGCACACCCAGCCTCTATAAAGTGAGAACTCTTAATTAAATAATTCATTGAGGGTGAAAACCTGCTGGTTGAGTCTTACCTCGACAAACCAACAAACCAGTATTGTTAAAAATGACAACTGCGAAAAAAATATACTGAGTATATGCAAGTTTTTAATTTAATTTAATTTTATACTTTTGTATGTATTTAAACAAAAAAATGTATATCAATAGTATATGTTATTTACATGAGAAACCTTTTGGTCTTCCAGCTGTACTTCCTTGATCCGTTGTTTGAGTTCTTTGATGTGCATGTCTTAGTATCTTTTGAGATAAGAACTTAGCTGTCACAAAGGTAACCTCAACACGTGTATAAAGAGGTCTGCTTTGTCCATCTTGTACTAACACACTTATACGCTTTGGCAATCTCATTAGAGTTTAACAAGATGGAATCCCCCCTCTTCTACCCCAACACCTTAAACTTATTAAAGACTCTATTATGCCGACACATTGTCCTTAACTGTTCGTTGTATGAACTTACTTGTATTATTCTGTACCTCTGTTGGTATTGACTTTTCCTCTTGCTTTCACTTGGTATTTTTGATACCTTCTTCAACGATCTTATTGTCCCATCAGTTGTTTATTGTGTTGTATATTTTGAAGATACTTGGCAATGCATTCTTATTTCCCGAGGTTCTACTCCGCCTCCGATGGTTCTGCAATTTCAATGAGTTCTGATAAATCCATAGGAGTCAATAAGTCGAAAAATATCGGAATAAAATGGTTTTCAGCAAGTAGCTATGGTAAAAACATTCAAATGTAGTTTAAAAAAAATCATTACACGCTTTTTTTTCGATTTGATAGTTGTAGATCTAACCTCACTTAAAAAATGATATAATTTCTGAAACTTGTTTCATAAATGAGAGTCTTATGAATCATGATAAAAATGCAGAATAAATTTTTAATTTACTAGATTAGAGTGCTTCCAATGGGTAGTTTCTCAACATGTGTTTCATGTCATTATATCTATGTGCGAATTTACTAGATGTATTTTTTTTATACAGTTGTAAATATCATATAAATAAAAAGAAATGACTAGAAAATGTATAGTCACTATAATTTTTTTTCTTTAAGTTATTTTATATAGTTTTAATTGACTTAGACTATGATATGACTAAGATTTGAAACATTTTTTTTTCTATTGGCATTACAGACCATGTTGATCTTTTGCCGCCTTAACCAGCTTTCTCCATCTCTGCCTTTCTTGGGCCATATCTTTCCATTTATCTGCACTCAGCTCTACTGCATATTTATTGATTCTAACTATCCATTTGCTTTTTGGCCTTACGCGTGTTCTTTTGCCTTCTATTGATGCATTCATTGTTACGTAGAGGCTTCCAGATGGATTGCTACGAGCTACATGCCCCGCCCATCTTTACCTCCGTGCCTTGATATCATGGGATATTGATTGACCAGTTTCTGTAAGCAGTTCCTTATTGTTCTTTCTTCTCTATGTGTTAGTACTCTGATCCCAGATCGCTCCGGTTATCGTGCGGAGGATTTTCCTCTTAAATCTTTCAACACTTTTTTCTAGGGTGCAGGTTAGTGTCCAGGTCTCACAGCTATATATTAGAACTGGCTTTATCATAGCATTGTTCACTCTTAGTTTGAGATTTCTTGAGATTTTTCGGGAGTTAAATACCTTAAAGAGGGAGAAGAAAGCTCTGTTTGCGCTAGTTATACGCTGGTCTATTTCTACTCTCGGAAATGATTTTCCTTCTATGCGGATCCTGTTATTGGGGTGGAATTTTTGGCTTATTATCATATATTTAGATTTGTCTTCATTTACTTGTAGGCCGATCTGCTCTGCCTCTCTTGTCGGTGTTTTAGCGAGTTTCTAAATGTCTTCCCGATTACTTCCAAGGACAGCTATATCATCTGCGTAACCAAAGATTTTATGATTCAATCCGACGTGGACCCCTCCATTTTCCTGTGGTGTTGCTCTTATTACCTACCCCAGGGCTAAGTTGAACAACATCGGTGATAGTCCATCTCCCTGCCGTAAGCCCGTTCGAACTTTGAAGGGTTCAGATACTTCTCCTTGTATTAGGATTCTACACTTGGGTTCATTTGTACACGCCTTTGTCAATCTCACCAACTTGCCTGGAATTCCCCGTTCAGTCATGATTTTCCAAAGATTGCTTCTGTCCTGCTTTAAAATCGACAAATAGGACGTCCTGAGCTACTTCCCATCGTTTTTCGAGTAGTTGTTTTAGTATGAAGATCTGGTATAGCGTGCTCCTCCCTTTTCTGAATTTTATCCCTTTTCATATCAATTAAAAAACCGATTTCATCCTATTTTGCCAGAAATTTATGTTTTTTCAAGGTTTAAATCAGAATTTTGTTTTTCTTATGATTTTTCAAAGTTTATTGTATCCTTCTCGATCTTTTATTGTTTTAGGAATATTGAGTGCCGTCCCCTCGATGTATTTCCTCCTGTCATTGCTAAAGCGCTTACAGGATATCGCTGTTTAAGAATTTATTTGTATTGCCATGATTGGTTATCAACCTTATGAGATTTATCATCTCACTTCTTTCTAAACATATAGAGCCTCT